ATGCCATGTTAGTAACATGTAACATGTTAGTAACATGTAACCGAGTTAGAATGAAGTGATTTCAGAATTTCTTTCCAGCTTTAAAATTCTCTGGTTAAAAGAAGTTTAAGGGTGTGCAGAAACCAGAGCCCTCACACACTGCTGATAGTATTATTAAATAGCACAAACACTTAGGAAAATAATCCATCAGTACCTCAAAAGGTTAAATACAGACTTATCAAATGACTCAACAATCCCATTCCCAGGTGTATAAATTAAATATATCTGAAAACACCTAAAATCCTATACACAAATCTTAGCAGCCTAACATTGTGCTGAATGAAGTAACGCAGAGTCAAGAGAGCACGTGTGCATATTGCACAATTCCTTTTATAGGAGAGGCCCAGAACAAACAAATCCGTATCACCAGAGTGGATTAGCGGTTTCCTGGGGCTGACACTGGGGGCGGGGTGAGATTCTTTTTGGCATGATCAAAGTTCTAAAATTAGATTGTGCAACCACAGAGCTGGGACTGCACAACTCTATGAACATACGAGAAACCACTGAAGCCTACACATCAAATGGGTGGACTGTAGGACACGTGAATTATATCTCAACAAAGCCATTTTTTAAAAAGCTGTCTAAAATCAAAAGAGGTAGGGCAGGGGTACATGTCAACAATTTTGGGGAGAATAAAGGAACATGCTTTGTCTCATACTCAGAATCTGGCTTAGGCACCATTCTTATTTGATGGTGATAATTTCTTACACTTGAATGAAGATGAAAACGTATAAAGCTAATTTATAAAATGTATCTTGAATGACAAGCATCTGAAATCATGGCTCATCACTGAGAAAGAAGATGGATGGGCATGTTTCTTATATAGTGTACACATACACTCAAACTCTCAGCTACTTTAAGGAGTTGACCGAATCTTTCTTTTAAAAGTCTGAGAGTTGGGGTGGTGGGGGTGGGGTTGGAGGCTGATATGGCACAGTGAGTTCAGAGTCGGCCTGCCAAGAGAAAGGTCAACAGCCGGTTCACAGCAGGAAGATGAGGCAGACTGCCTCCCCTAAAGAGCTACAGCCTGGGAAATTCTATAGGGCAGCTCTACTCTGACAGGGTCACTCTAAGTTGCTTTGAATTTTTGTGAATTGTGATAGAAATGGAAAAGGGATGCCTAAGCTTATTAGCTGTGTGCTACGTAAGATGATCTTATCCATTGTCTCAGCCTGGGCACTGAATGCTCTAAGGAAAGAACTCTTCTTGACACGTGACCCCAGGAAGAAAAACAAATCTAGACTGACAGCACACAAAGGACAAAGACCTGGTAGCTGGGACTCAGCAGACCCCAAGGCCAAGGCACCTGCCACACCACGTACACTCACAGACCAAACACCCAGCAGGAGAGGAGGAACACCCACCTCCGTCTCTAAATCCCGAATTGTTCAGCCACCAAAGTCCTGTAATCTTGACAACAGACATTAAATTTTTAAAAAAGGGTGCAAGTGCTTACACTCGTACATAAGTATACTTGGTGAAACAGGAACACATGAAAAAGTAGAAATTGTCTCAGTGTCCAACATGAAGTAAAATTTACTAAAACATGGTAATTCCACAACGGACTCCTAACCATATAAACACTGGACACAGAATGATACTCAGAACAGAGTAAGATATTCAGACAGCAGATGACATTACATTTTAAAAACACATTAGAAGACTTTTATTCAGCCCTAAAGAGAAATGAGGTTTGGATACACACTACACCACTGATGAACTCTGAAGACAATAGGCTAGGTGAAATAGACCAGATACAAAAGGACAATTATTGTAGGATTGCACAAGATGAAATACCCCGAAGAGGTCAATAAATGCAGAGACAGAAAGTCAGATGAGAGATTACCAGGCCTGGGAGAGATAAGGAAGTGAGATGTTATTGCTGAAGCGGGCTGAGTTTGCACTGACAAAGGATTCTTAAAATACACTGGTGACAGTGTTCCCTAACAATGTGAATCTTAACTAATGACCCCGAACTGTACACATAAAAGGAGATTACATATTACACATTGCATTTTGTGTAACATAGATCTTCCTAAAATGAAAAAATTGGGGGAGTAGTTACAAAAAGAACACTCACAGATACATTCTGGTAGATGCCACAGCATATGACACATACTACTAGAATCTTAAGAAATCAAAAGCCAGTTTAGGTATCTAAAGCAAGACAATGAACGGACTGCAGTTTTTACTTCTCTGGCATTCAGGAGCACATTGAACAACATTGAAACCCCGGTAGAACCTTCATGCTTACCTTGAAAGTCAAAATGATGCTGATAAACAGAAGAATAATAAGAACCAAACAGGTAGGATTCACTGACATGAGATCATCTTTGTACAGAAAATCAGAAGGCTGAAAAAGAAGAGTACCTTTATTAGCAATCTCATTAATCATTCAAGGCCATGTTCCCCAGGCAGAATGTAGACGGCTAATCAGAAAGCAATTAGCTAAAAGCAGGCAGGTATTATTTAGAAGCAACACAAGATTCCTAGCTGCAAAGGGCCAGCTAGAGGGGAGGGAGTCTGTTCATCAATCAGGCAATAGCTCTCCCCAAGCAAAACAAAAGGTGTCTGGAGTATAACTTGGCCCTCCTGCCATACAGAAAGAAGCCAGTGCTCTTTACCTGGGGGTATTTTATGAACCCCTGGTATTGAGATTCCCTGCAAGTTATGGACCTAGAACAGAATCTCTCGGAGTAGTTGACATTTACATTAAATAAATATATACGTGTATTTACATTAAATAAATATATACATGTATTTACTATATATATATATATATATTCCCAATCCCCCCTCTTCCCTCTCAGAAGTCTTTCTCTTTCCCTAAGCTCATAAACTACCACTCAAACCACCACAGTCAATAACCTCACCAGTAAAAACATTTTTAGGTTTTATAGCGAATTTACATTTTAAGGTACAGCCACAATAGAAAACATAAAACAAAACCCAAAAAAAGTAAGGCATGAAATTATTCTCAGCTCACAATCACCACAAGGTTCTTAGTACCCATCTCTGCTCAGATGGTCAGTCCATCTAATAGGATATTCCATCCCTGGGGCCGTCATGGACTTTATGGGATCAATTACGTTTAGGAACCAGTGTGAACCAGAGATCCAGTTCTGCTTCTTCCTTATTGAACTGGGAGGGGCTAAAAACTATGCATTGCTGACATCTATACAAATTTCATTTTACAAAATAAGAGGAACTGACTCACTATTTAGGCAGCCAACATTGCCATTTACTTATGTTAAGTTCAATGATTAATGTTCTTCTCAAAAAGTGTAACTTATTTTTAACTAATTTTAAAAATCACTTAATCAGTAACTCAGATGCCAGTACTACTGCACAGGACATTGGTGGGTCACGTGCAAAATCCTCACTTTTCGGCCAGGGTTCTAGTCCAGGCCAGACCACCTCACGCACTGGCATCAGCTGTGTGCTAGTGGAGGCTTAGGCTGTGATGTTGAACAGGTTGCAGACAGACCAGGGAGGAAGGCCTGGCAATCTATTTCTGAACATCAGCCAATGAAAAAACTCAAAGGCTCACAGTGGTCTGATTCACAGGCAATTTGGGGGTGGGGGTGGGCGCAGATCCCGGCATTGCTTCATTCTACTGAGCACAGCAGCTAACAATAGCACAATGTTAAAAACCCACAAACTAATGTGCCGTGGGTACATGCATGCATAGCTATCTCTAGATCCCAAACATAACCGTGGTTCCCTCGAGAAGAGAAGTGATCACATACCAGCTGTCGGATGTATTCCTGGATGGAGTTTGGATACACAAGCACAGTGACAGCAACCAGGGTGCTCAGAGCAAAATCAAAGATCTGGTAACAGAAGAACGGGATGATCCAGGCAGCATGTTGCTAAAAAAATGAGAGAACAGAACACTGACGGGCCCAGTATTGTAGAACTTAGTTTTCGTGAGTCTTAAGAAATCTTGTGTTGGGGGAGCGAGGAGGGAGGGGGATAAAAAGGAGCTGATGCCAGGGGCTTAGGTGGAGAGCAAATGTTTTGAAAATGATGAGGGCAATGAACGTACAAATGTGCTTTACACAACTGATGTATGTATGGATTGTGATAAGAGTTGTATGAGCCCCTACTAAAATGATTAAAAATAAATAAATAAACGGTGCTTGCCAGGGGCGGGGGTGGGGAGGGGAGCTCTTGTGTTAACTGACAGAAAATTGAATGGTAGAAATACTTTAAGTAGTTATTACTATGATTACTATTAACTGGCATGCCAAATAGGACCAACACAATGAACACTCCAGAGACTATACAAATGGTTCCCCCAGTTCCATATCAGGGACCGTAAACTCCAAAAAAATGGTTTCAGAAAACTGAGATCTACCATCTCGACGTCTCCAAATGGCTGTATGGATGCCGAGAGTGGACGCTCAAGAAGGCTGCTTACTTACCTTGTATGCGCCGTAAGTAGCCATGGCGCAAATCAGGATCATAAGGAGAGAAATCGCAATAGCAATGCACATATCTGCCAAAGGGTTAAAAATAAGAAAAAGCCATTAGAAGCAGATCCACCACTAAAACATGTGAGTCATCCTTAAGGGTTTTTTCTTTTTTTAAAAAAATTTAAATAAACCAAGCATAGATGTGAGGACATTAGACGAAGTACACCTCCAAAAAGTCTTTTAAAAAACAAAACATCTTATTGGGGGCTCTTACAGCTCTTATCACAATCCATGCATACATCCACTGTGTCAAGCACATTTGTACATATGTTGCCATCATCATTTTCAAAACATCTGCTTTCTACTTGAGCCCTTGGTATCAGCTCCTCGTCTTTTCCCACCCCCACCCCCCATCTCCAAAGTCTTTTTGGAATTGGAGAAGATGACAGTTAATGAGAATAAAGTGTCTAAAACCCACCGCCATCTAATTGATTCATGAGGCCCGTATCGGGTTTCCAAGGCTATAAATCTTTATAGGAGCAGGCAGCCTCATCTTTCTCCTAAGGAGCAGCTGGTGAGTTAGAACCACTGACCTTGTGGTTAGCAATACAATGCTTCCCAGATGTGTGGCACCACTAGGCTCCCAATGCCCAAAGATCCACTAAAACACCTACTGCCAGAGTACATTCTGACTCAGTAGCCCTTCATAAGGTTTCCAAGACTGTAAACTTTACAGGAGCAAACAGCCTTTCTCCTGCAGAGCGGCCTAAAAAAAGTTCTCCGTGTATCATACAACTATCTACAGAGAAGAGATTGATACTGCATACGCTTCCTTCAAAAATGGGAAAGAATATTAGAGATAGTTTAGTCTTCTGGTCTGCCAAGAGTTGTATCAAAAATTAAATATTTTATCAACACGCAGGCACCTAATATTTTATAAGCACGTGTGTGCCTTGTGCCCTTTTTAAAGTCATCAGATGGTTCCCCACCCACCTCATTAAAATCTCAACCATTCTGGGTGCCTTACTGTACAGAGTACCTCGTCCTTCGCCTCTCTAATCGCACTGCATCGTGTCTATGCTCTCTTGCCCACTAGAATCCAGCTGAGCCCTTTGGTTCACTGAACACAGCAAAGCCATCCTATCCTAGCATTTGGGTTTTCAGTTCCCACTGACAAGATTCCACCTTTTAAAAAATGCAGATCTGGGCTCAAATGTCAACACTTCCCAGAGCTCTTCCCTGTGGGTTCTGGCTAATGTCGGCCTCCCAGTCACTGTTGGTTTATTGCTGGGTCTTCTTGAGGGCATGTAACACCGCTGGAACTTCTCCGTCCACTGCCTCTTGGCTAAGATCACTTTCTTGGGGAAACAAAAGCCGGTTCCCATCAGTTGGTTCAGACCGTTTGTTTCTGACTCAGGGCTGCACTCCACAGAGCTCTCAATGGCTGCTTTTTCACCAGACCATCCTTCTGAGGTGCTTCTGGTGGCCTCAGACCACCAGCCTTTCAGTTAGCAGCCATGCCCATAGCCATTTGTACCACACCAAAGGCAGAACTTTCTAGATCTTGTTCACTACTACACAGCCAAGACACAGAAGGAGACAGGTGTCTGATATGGTGGCCACCTGCCACATGTGGTTATCAACATCAAAACAAAACCCACTGCTGTCAAGTCAGTTCAGACTCACAGCAAACCTGACTAGTGTAAAGGGCAGGGCAGAACTACTCCTTGGGGTTGCAAGCCAGGAAACCTCTCCAGAAGCCAACAGCTTCATCATTTTCCCATGGAGTGGCTGGCGGGTTTGAACCAGCGACCTGGAAGTTAGTACCCCAACACCTGAACCACTGTGCCACCAAGGCTCCTTTCATGTGGCTATTGAGCACTCATTCCTTTTGGTTTTTAATGCCATCTCACTGCCAGGTCCAGTCTGCCTCGAGCACGCTACAGGATAGCTTCTGAGACTGTAACTCTCTACAGGAGTTGAAAACCCAGTCTTTCTCCCAAGCAGCAGCTGGAGGTTAGCAGCCCAACATCTAACCACGATGCCACCAGGGCTCCTAAAGGAAGAATGAAAAGTATTCTAATTTTAGAATCATCTTCTCTGTACCCGTAGCTTCAAGGATGAGGCAGGGGGAGGACTTTTTTGAAACAAGAAGTTTGTATGCTGAGACAGAGAGTAAAAGTACATCCTGGGCAGAAATTCAGACTGATCAATGACGGCCATGTCATCTTACACAATGAAGGTTCTTCAGATTGGTCTACAGATGGACACAGTTCCTATCAGGGTCCCAGTTGGTAAGCGACAAACTCATATTGATGCTGATGTTGCTGTAACAAAGGCATAAAAAGGGGATTTTCAAAACCAAGGAAAGAAAGGTTATTCGAGCCTCGGCTGATTAGTACACTAACCATTCAAGGACCATGGTTTCTTTGGTGACATATACATGTTGTAGAGTTTAAGTTTAATGTTATATCACCTCAGGAAGAGGTACCTCAAAGGAAATGTCATGGATATGAACACATTGCCTTGTGTTCTCTGTGGGGGCCATATGGGGAACAAGCAAAAGCTCCGGCCGACTGTTTCCACATGTATAAATACACTGTACACAGGAGCTGGCCCTTGGCATGTGAAGCAAGCAGTGAGGGTGTTGGCCATTAGGCTTGATGAAGCCATGGTTGCAATGGAGCCTATTGTCCGCTTCCTCCCCCTGCCCTGAGCGTGTGTATGTGTGTGTGTGTGTGTCTGTGTGTGTGTGTGCAATTTCCTTCAGCCTTTACAACCAGCCTATCAAATGGGGGCTATGATTAGCCCCGTCTCAGACAACAGAGAAACAGGAATGACTAGAGAAGTTAAGAGTCACGGGGTGGCGGCAAGTGTTAAGTGCTTGACTACGAGCCAAAATGTTGGGAGTTCAAATCCACTCAGAGGTACCTCACAAGCTCAGCCTGGAGATCTGCTCTGAAATGTCACACTTTGGAACCCCTATGGAGCAGTTCCACTCTGCAGCTGTGGGCTCCCCAGGACCTGGAATCAATTTGACGGCAACCAACAGCCACCGCAAAAGAAGCCAGGTGCCCACGGCTGCAGGCGTGGCAGGTGCGATTGTCTCCATGGGAGGGCAAACACCAGACTCAACACCAGCCACCCAAAAAGGAGGTGCTTCAACCCAAGGAACAGTGGACCTCAAAGTAAGGGAAGTCAACAAGTCTCCAAAAAGTCGTTACACATTTAAAAATCACTACAATCTATCAAGCCTGTTAAGAGTTTGCAGCATCTCTGAAACTTCACTCAGACAGACATTTATTATTTTCTCCTGCATCCTTGTCTCTAAATTCCCTCCAAGTATGCTTTCAAATGAGAATAATTTTGTAGAAGCCAGAACATGACAGGATAACCTGAGTAATTCATAGGTCTTTTAAGACTAACTCAGGCTTAATGGAAAAAATAAACATGAAAGTATAAGCTGCA